TTACATGCCTAACGAATTTTTAGGTTAAAAACTTTCGGATTGAGTTGGGTTGGGTTGGGTTACCAATCCAATCAACCCAAACTTTTGGGTTGGTCCAAAAAAATTTCTCAACCCAACCCAACTCAAACAATGAATACAGTAAGTTTAATGTAATTTATAAACTTTTGTTTGGTTCGGGTCAACCTGAAGTTTTTGACTTATAAACCTGAAATCGAATCGGTTTGAATTCAGAAAAATGAACCCAACCCAACTCCTATAATTTGGGTTAGGTCGGTCTAGGTTATCGGGTTGATTGTACACTCCTACACTACAACAATGAATAAAATTTATTATTTTCATTGGATATTTGCATATTACACATTTGTAATTGACCTAATTCGTAAATCATACTGATTGTGTTGTAAAGACTTAAAAATCTCGTTATAAGGAGAGATTTAAACTTCCTACCTCAAACAAAAAGCATGAAATAACCTTTTGAAAGTATGATCTACGACATTAAAAAAAACAAAACATGAAAGTACGAAACAAAATGTTTATGCTCTCTAACGAGCCATATCACTGTTAAAGTTAAAGAATGTCGTGAGATGTATAAAAAGCTGTTTTCAAAGCATTTATAAGAGAACAAGGCTTTTTACATTGGTACATAACCCTGCAAAAAAAAAAAAAAAAAAAAAAAAAAAAAAAAAAAAAAAAAAAAAAAAAAACTCAAACCAAATTTCAATGTAATCTAAAACAGTCACTCTTTTGTTCTCAACTCTGAAAACTTTACACACTTTTTAAAAATATTTGAATGAACCTTTGTGGGACCGTACTATCTGACCTTGAACTTAATATCAAAGTATTTGAAATACTTTAAAAATGGTAACTCTCCATCCAAATTGTGTGGATCAAATAGTATGAGAATAGCAAATCTTAATAATGCTTGTTCTTGACTTATGGTCTAGCTCAACGTTACAATACGTAGGACGATACATGTTTATCATTTAGTTGATAGGAGCTCGTACTTACTTTCTAACCTACCTCGTTTTCATGGGTCTAGCTCGATATTGTCAGTACTATATTGTAGCGACGATATTTCTCAAAAGTAATTTGGCGCTTCTAGCCGCGCCTCTTGAGCTGCCCTGACTCGGTATTATGTCGATTGGGGATTATCTTGGAAGTAGTGCTCCTAGGAAAGATTCCTGATACGCTCTCAAGAAAATTTGTTCAGGGCTGTTCACTTTCATTTGAGAAAGGAGTTTGATAAAAAAGAGTTTGGGAATGTCCTGCATAGTTAACAAAGATTGAGTTTGGAGTCTAGACAACATGGATACAAAACGAGGAAGTTCTTTTTAGAATCATTGTGGTTTTCTATCTTCATCTTACCAAATTTGAGAATAATCAAGGCATTTTCAGTGAATCGGCGTGCCCCTAAACTAGACGCTTCACCTACTTGGCCTCAGAGAGAATAGAATGAGTTACCCTAGCCTTAGTCTGACTTAGAGTTTGAATTGTTCTATCGCCAAACTACAACGAGAGTTTCGCCTTTCGGCCACACCAGTCATGTTCCAGTAGCTCGGATGAGCAACTACACTCAACTAATCATTAAAACTCATTTCTTTTCAGTTCAACAACATACGTGATTCGAACCTCTAAACTTTAGATCGAAGGTACAATATCTTATTTAAGATGAGATAACTATTAAAACCCGTCTTAAATTAGATAAAGATCAAAGGTAAAGAAAACTGAAACGTGGACCAATCGAACAAAGTGTTCGTTCTGATCGAACCCATTTCAAATCCCTAAACATAACTCGAACAAAACGTGAAAATAAAGACTAGATTTCTTTTGGGGAAGAAGATGACAAGTTAGAGTCCAAAAACATATCTGCAAGAAATAATGTTGAGATGCTTTGAATTGAACATTTTCTTTTCTGACAGTCTCCACATGTTCTTCTGCCTTGGTTGCTCCCAATAATGCCATCCTCACACAAACCTCTTCCTCTTCTTAAACATATCTCCAAACTTCTTTCTTTTGCTTCTTTTCGGGTTTTGTTTAATGATATCAATTTTTGTTTTAGTCTCTTCGTCCCCGCCTGCCTGAGGACTTATGTGTATGTTTTGGAACAAGGACGTTCATCTTTTATAACAAGTAGACCCATACATTGTACGGTATGATGGAAGGATTTCGTACCTCCTTTAGATATCTCGAGCCTCTATGCTCCTAATGTCGAGCTAGAATGAAAGCTCGAGAAAATAGAGATAAACCCATTTGCTCATATAATTTTACTAAAGAATGAGCCATTTTCACTGTTATTGTAGGACTAGATCGTAGTACCAGTCCATAACAATCAAAGATGCATTGTAAACATATCAATGAAGCAACAACTGGTACTAGAGGAGCGGTCATGAACTGGACACAAGAATTTGTCGGTATTTTCGATGAAATCCTCTTATTTTTGTGGCTTAAGATCGAAGGAGGTCAATATAAACATATTTCGATGACTGTTTAACCCTAGCTTAACTTATTTTTAACCAAAAAAATTCAAATTTTAAACCGTTATTAAGTCAAAAATCAAACATTTTAAAAATTTAGGTCTAATTTAAAAGGGAGTGGTTGGTTTAACATTGTTTTGAACAAAATCTTATGATACATTGAATCAACAAAATCTTATATTTTATTAATAGCCAAAATATTTATTTATTTATTATTATTATTTTGTTTTCTTGTGTTGTTTGGTGAATGAGAAATAAATAAATCAGGTTATGAGAAGAAGATTTATAATTTATTTATTTTTATTTTTATATTCATGAAGAAAACAAAAATATAAATAAATAAATATTATTTGATTTTAAATGTTTTTCTTGTCTTGTGCTAATGAAGGACAGTTCAAGTACTTTGACTTAAAATATTATTATATGAATTGTTATATATATATATATATATATATATATATATATATATATGGGTCGAGTTGGGTCGGAGGTGTGAGACTACGCAAGTGACCTAATAGTTAGCTAGCACTTATAGGTAACTATCTCGAATTTAAAGTGATTTTATGATCTAGTGGAACGGTTGTTAGCTAACCTTCCATAAATGATGTTTAGACCCGTAGATGCCATAAAAGTAAATGTAAACCGAAAACCTCCATTAACTCAAATTCAATATATATATATATATATATAGAAAGTAAAAAATATTTTTTTTAAAATTAATAATAAATTTAAGTGGTCTAAATTAATTATTTAGTTGAACACGACTCTCTACAATCATATGATATTATCACTTTGAGTCTAAGCTCTCGTGACTTTACTTTTACTTCTCCAAAAGGCCTCATTTCAATAGATATAATATTCTTTGATTATAAACTCATGATCGTTTTCTAAATTAGCCGATGTGGGATTGTGATTTTCATTAGACAAATATGACTCGGAAGTTTTTTAAAAATTAAAAATAAACCTAAATTACTATAAAAAAAATCAAATATTTTTAAATATTTTTTTAAAATAAAAAAAAAAACAAATGAGTGCAACAATAACATTAAAAAAATTAATTCAACGGATTAACTGCGTATATTATTGACTCAGACGTCAAAATCTTGAAGTTTCACATGAACCTAAAAAAGCGATAAACACTTTAATTATCAAACTATATTCATTTGACAATTAAAACGCTAAAAAATGTTTCAAAAGCTTTAATTTTTATGGATCAAACATCAAATTTTGTATACTTTAATCATAACATAACCTTTAAAGAAATAAATATATATTCAAGATCTATTTAGCATGTGAGGCAGCTAAGTAAGGAAATCATCAAACTTTTCTTTTTCTTTTTTTTTTTTTCTCAATTTTTAAATTTTTTTTTATAACCGTGAACCCTACTGCTAGCCGATATTGTTTATTTTGTCTGTTATGTATCATCGTTAAAAAACGCGTCTATTAGAAAGAGATTTTCACATACTTTTTCCAACGGACGTGGACCCCACAATTTCTCTTGTGATTAAAGCGGGAGAAAATAAATAAATAAAAAAATAAAATAAAATAAAAAATTGTGAGTGTATGCAAATTGGGATATTCTTCCATGGTTGATTGTTTGAGAGTGTGAAGCTGTATAAAGCTGCCTCACAGTTCAGACACCATTTGGAATCTATGAAATTGAGAGATTTTTTTAAAAAAAAAAAAAAAAAAAAAAAAAAAAAAACTTTATTATTATATTTTTTATTTAAAAAAGAAATTGTTTTACTGAGCAGACCATGATAGACATGTTTACTTCTGTGTTCTTTTTAGCTGTCAATGAGTGGAGAAAAGAGAGTACTTCAAAAAACTATGATAATTATGGAAAATATGAACCAAAGGAACCCAAATTTTGGACACTTTTTTTTCTACTTTGGAGGGAGGGGGTGCCCTTCACTTGTATTCTCGGGTTTATAAACGTATAAGATCAAAGGTTCGAGTCCCCCTATGACTCGAGTAAATGAGGGTTGTATGAACGAACTAATACTATATTTGAATCAAACTGATTTTGAACATATAAAATTGTGGGTAAGAAATTGTGCAAGTATTTAATCCTAAGAACTTCAAAACAAACATGTTTTGTTTGGACTTTTAAGTGTCGAATTTGGGTTCCAAATCCTAGTTCAAATTCTGGGTATTGGGCGTGGATTGCCTCCACCCTTAGAAACCGTTCAAGTCAATTAGAAAACGTAGTCACACCATAGAAAAAATATCGAGACTATGAAGTGTCGAATTCGAGTTCCAAATCCCAGCTCAAATTTTGAGCATTATTGAGCGGTGGATTGCCTCCACTCTTAGAAACAGTTCAAGGTCAATTAGGAAACGCAATCATATCATAGGAAAATGTCGAGACCATTGACAATTGACGTAGTTATTCTAAATCCCAATTCAAATTCTGGGTATTGGACGATACACGCCCACCTCCCACAGATTGTTGAAACAATAATAAAATAGTACAAAACACCTCTAGTTCATAATCAACAACAATCTAATTAAAATAGAGACATGTTTTAAGAAAGTAATTAACAATCTAATTATCATTTAGAGCTTAATCTAACAAAAACAACTTACAACAAGCAGCCAAGAAGAATCAAACCAAAAAAGTGACAAAACTCCAAAGAATTCAAACAAAGAGCTGTTTGATTCAACTCAAACAACTATACAAATTTGTACACAAACAAAAAAACAGAGCATTCAAAAAACAGAGTATCCATCAAATCCTGCAAAGCTCTGAACTTTTTTGATCCCCACGAGCTAAGATCTTTGAAGCTGAAAGAGAACATGTTTGTTCTTGAGATTCAAACAGCTTTTGTGAATGTTTACAGTGAGCTATTGCCCCTTCAATGCAGCTCTCAATCTCTGAATTTGAGCTGATACTTCTCTTGAACATCAACAGATCCGAAAACCCATTTGAACTAAACGAAAATGATGAAGAAAGAGATGAAGAACTTGAAGAACAAGATGAAGAACTGCTCTGAATCGCCCCTGAAAATGACTTTCTGTGATGAAATTCCTCAACTTTTGGGATCTTCCATTTGTTATAATCAATTCTACCAAAAGGGTTCTTTTTGGTAACTTTAATGAACTTTTCTGAACTTCCCCTGTTTTCATAAATGGTCTCTGTTTCTTCGTTGAACGCAGATTTGGAACAGAGCTTGTTAGAACAAGCTGATTTACTGAACAGAGTCGTGAAATAAGCCATTGATGATTGCTTGAATTGCTTCATTTTCTTTGACCATGATTTTCTTGGTGGGGTTTCCTGTTTGAATCGTAACAAAAACTCATCTGGGTTTAGCTCAAAACTCGGTCTGCATGACTCACTGAGTGAGAAATTGTATGACTCGGGAGGTGGAGATTTAATGGTGATGAAAGGAAACTGAAAGTTTTCTGAAAAAGATTGGTTTTTTCTTGATGGGTTTTGGGAGATTGGGCTGTGGATGAGTTTTTGGATCATTTGTAAACGGGGAGGGAGGTGGAGAGGGAGTAATTTTCCTTTGTAGAACAGTTCATCGGCCGGCGAAGTTCTGGCCTCTGTTTCGCCTGGGAATGACGTCATTTGGACTTGGAACTCGAAATCTCTTGTAGCCACCGTCGCCGGCGGCGGCGGCGGTGGGGATCCAATGGAATAGCAGAATAAGTTGGAAGAAAGGGAAGAGGTGAGTTCCATGTCTATATAATCTTCTTCCGGTGGAGGGGCGACGAATGGATCTTCGACGGTGGTCATTACAGTGCGACGGTGGAGAGGGCGGAGGAGAGAAACAGAGAGGGGAGAGAGTGGCGGAGGAGAGAAACAGGGAGGGAACAGGAAAGAGATCTATATATATATACACACACATATATACACATTATCTTTCCCAAAGTAAAAATTAAGATAAAATAATATTTTGATTTTTTAGTTTAACCTGTCAAAATTTCAAACAGGCTAAATTATTAATAAAAATGTCACTTTCTAAAAAAAAATATTTTTTAATTTTTTAAAAATTTCAATAATACTATTATATTTATAAAAAAAAAAATCGTTAATTTTAGTTTTAATAATGTTTCAAAAACTTCATCAATATATTTCTTTTAACTCTTTTTAAAAATTAAAAAATATATTAATCTTTAATACACCCTTTACTGATATAAAAAAATTCAAAAACATTATTACCGTTATAGGTTATCTACAAACGTCTTAATGTTATTTTGAAAAGTTTATAAGTATTTTTGAGACGTGATATATTATTATTTTAAAAAATTTGAATGATATTAATAATTTTTTTTTGAAAAAGAGATTTTTAAACACGAAAGTTAAAATATATTATTTTAAACAATTTTGAAAGTTAAAGTATTTTTGAAACTTTTAAAAATTTAAGAATATTTTTTTTAGGTAAAATGCAAAGTTTAAGGATATTAATGGGGTTTAAATCATATTGGTTCTTAATAATACCATACAAATTAAATATATAAGTTAAAAAAAAATCTTATTTTTTGAAAATTGAGCTAAAAAAATGAAATAATTTAAGCTTATATATGTGCTCACAATTATATAATGTTTGGAATAGAGTAATGATTCTAAAAAAAATTAAATGAAATTATTTGTTTAATAAAGTATTTTAAAAATACATTTTTCTGAAAATGCATAATAATTTTTAATTATTTATTTATAGTGATTTTAAGCGTATAATAATTTAAACTTTTATTAACAATTTAGAGGGAATATATAAAATTAATTTCATTTCATATCATAATAATGATAATAGAACGAGAAAGTTGAAGCCTCATTTGAAAACATCCATCTTTCTCATCACCTTTTTGGTATAACTTTTTTTCATCATATTTGATTTAGACATATCAATATTTTTGTTCACTTTAAAAATTATTAATAAAATTTACAAAATTTAGAAAAGAAAAGGAAATATCAATTTGTAAAATAATATCCATTTAGTAAAAAAAATATTTCAAAATTGTGTAAAATTGTAAATTTATCAGTAATAGTTCTAAAATAAAGAAATGATATTATTATTATTATTATTATTATTCGCATGCAAACTAATTTTAGTTATTTAAATTGAATATTTAGAATATATATATATCTAAATATTTAGTGGAAAATAGTTAGGTTACAAACACATCACCTGTCATCCAATATTTTTGTTTCAATCAATTAATGACAAATTGAGTTTAATTACCATTAAAAACTTCAAGAAATATAATAAATTTAGGGTAATTGTTTCTTTAATTATAGAGACCTAAAATTACACTTTATATTATTTATATAATATATAAGTAAATAAGTAAATAAATAAATAATAATACATGCATTGAATACTTCCAAGGACTAAAACGCAGGTGAAAGAGACAACAAATCTTTTCTTTTATTTATTCTTAGCAGCAATTCAGCCACGTGTATAAATCTCATGCTAACTTAGAAGAGGCCCAATGGGGAAATTTAAATAATTTCAAAATTTTAAAAAATAATTAAAAAAAACTTTTGCTATTTTGAATAGCTTCATTCAAGTATATTATGATTTCTTCTTATTTAAAAATGATGAAACTACATGTCAAAAATCAAATATCTTACTTATATATATACTCTTAATTTAATTTATACTAAAATTTTCAAAATTATGAGCAAATTTAAAGTAAATATATGAAAAAAAATCAAAATCAGATCGACACAATACTCTAATATACTATGATAAACATGGGCGTTCATGCTCGTGGAGACACTTCAAGAACATTAGGGGATACCCCACATTTTTAACCTTTAAAATTTCTACTGTTAAAATTTCTGGACATGTATGGTTTTATTATTCATTTCCTGCTTCCCATATCTGTTATTATCAGAAATATATATATAAAATACATCAGATTTGAATAATTTTTTTGCATATGCTCCTGCTCGTTTTGACCTGGTCAAACATGTCGGAAGATCAAACCTTCCTTTGGTTCTTAATTAATTAATTAATCATAATACTAATTATAAACCAAAGTTCAATAGTGAATGAAGAGAGAGAAGGGGAACTTCAAAAGTGTTCTATTCTCTCTCATCCACTTTCCTGACTCAAACTCAGAAATTTGAATCTCAATCATCTCGTTAAACTTAACTCATAACTCAACTAGATAAATGCATATAGTCAGAGTCAGACGTATTTGAATCCCAATCTCGCTAAACATAACTCACAACTCAACTAGATAAATGCATATAATCAGAATCAGACAGTTCACCATAATTTAGCGACCTCTAAAACAATACCTTGGATTTTTTGATCACGACAAAAGAGGGGGAAAGAAAAGGTATAATTTCAAAGAGATGGTGTCACGTGGTAACCAAATAGGCAGTGGGTCTAAGCTGGTTCTCATGCAGTGATAAGGCTTCCACATGCAATACATGATGATGCAGTGTTAGTAGCCTTTGTGTGGGTGTGTGTGTGTGTGTGTGTGTGTGTGTGTGTGTGTGGTCCGGACTCAAAAACTGCACTCTGCAAACAGTAAACCAGAAACTGGACCATACTACCCACCAGCTTTAAATGATTGTTCCATTTCAGCTTAAAGACAGTACACAATCTACAGTACACAGGACATTCTCGATGGCTACTTCCCACCCCAAACCAAAATAAAATAAAATAAAAATAAAAAAATAACAAAAATTTATTTGTTTCAAGGTATAATAATGTATATACAAAATTTCATCAATACAAAGAATTTACACTTGTATTATTGCTTGCTTCAGGAATCTTCCTGATAAATGGCTTTTTTTTTTCTTTTCTGTAACAGGCTACTATATGGGCAGGGGTGGTGGTGTAATCATTAAGCGTTACAATAATTTCATGCATTCTCTTAATTTTTTCTTGCAGTTTATAAAGAATTGAGTTTTAAGTATGTACCCGATGAAGTTTCATATTCTTTGGTGGTTGGATGGTGCATCATAGTCCCTTCCGAGTTCGTCAAATTCCCAGTCATTTATCTCGTCAATTGAGTCGTATGTATCCATCCCCTCGTCCGAATCTAGTTTTGCTATTTCTGCTTCCATGCTAAAATTCTTTGTTCTCTTTACTAAGGAGGAGTCATCCATTTCTTCATAATTTGATCTTCGTACTTCGGCTGTCTGTTTGGACACGGAAGCCAAACTTGAAGTTCTACGTATCCTGTCTTTGACTCGTAACTCTGGTTTTTGCCTAAAAGTTTCGATCAACAATCTCGGTCTCTTGATAGATTCAAATTCTTTTTTTATTTTTTCAAGTGAATCAAATAGCTCTTGTACTCGCTGGCCAAGATTCCTGGATCAAGAGTTCATTGTGTAGCCAAAAGTGCCTAAATTAGCAGTCAAGGGCTGAAAAAGTGGAAAACATTGACAACGAATGCATCCTATTTCCTTGCCTAGAAGACACTATGGTAGTACCTGACAACTCCTTTTGTATCGTAGAATTGCATTCTTACTGTATCCACAGTGCTTAAGGTGGAAACAAACTGGCCAGTGAAGAAAGTAAGGAAGTAGACAGACCAGAAATTAAAATTAGAAAAACATATTGCACAATCGAAAGACAAAAAACTAAACACTGCCACCAATTAGAGATTGTGAGTGACAAATGCAGCTTAGTTTTAAGGGAAATAGACCAAATTAGCACCCAATGAATGAAAAGGAAGTTATCAGCATTCATAATGCCACCAATAATAACATACCTTAGATTCGATATCCAAATATTCCTCTTCGAGCTTTTTCCGTTCATTATTGACATCTAAATCTCCATCATCAATATTGGACATTGCATCTGACCTGAGAGAAGTTGGTCTCAGCAGCCTGGTTAATTATATCACAGTTATTCTCATAAGAATAAAATATTTTTTAAAAGAACCATACCCCTTCATTGAACTCAAGTTCTCCTCAAGTATCCTGATACAAGAAAGTGAGGGCTCCAACTTTCCCTAAGGAGAATAGATGGGCCAATGTGCATGACAGTCAGAAGGCAGTAAACTATATCCCATAGAAGCAGTGAATGACAACTGATGAGGATAAAATAAACAAACTAGATAGCCCCTAACGGGTACCTTGTAAGAAGTGAGAAGGCTGGTGACCAACTTCACAAAATAATCTCCATATTTTTCCAGCTCACCACTTGAAAAAGAGAAGAAAAAAACAATCGAGCAGTTCACTGATACTAGAATGAGAGTGAAACTTAAAAGGGAAAAACATAGTAGATGATTCCATTTATTTGATTCCAAAACAAGCGACATAACTCAAATTACAAATAATATTTAAGCAAATATGATTAACATACTTGACATTCTCCTCCTTTTGTTGTCTTTGGGATGTCTGGAGGTTCCATGTATGCTCTAAAAAGGTTTTACATGCATTTACAGCATTGGCTTCTACTTTATATGAAGCAACAGATCTGAACAGCTCATCTTCCTGTAACCAAAGAAAATCGGTACATAAAGTAAACTAACGAGAGGAGGAAAACCCATCAAGTTGACACTTTATTGCAAGGGGATATTAATTAACGAGAGCACAATAAATAGCTTGATTACCTTTGTCTTCAAGTGCACAAGTATCTGGTTACTCGCTTCATCAAAATGCTCTCTTTCTTCTTTTGCATTATGAAGGCGCATACGAGCAGCAGACAATAAAGCATTGACCTGAAACAAAACATACATCCCAATAGAAGCTGATAAGTAAAAACAAGGTTCAAGCAGCATGGTGAACAGAGAGTTAAAAATGGCGTGGCAAATATTGGATAAACTCACGAGGAAGATCCAATTCTAAATTACTTCACCTATTATCCACATGATAAACAAATATTTGTACTCAATTCAGTCATCAATA